GCACCGACGTGTCCATAAAAGCCAGGCAGACAGGTCGCCCCAAGACGGGATGACTCCATGCCACGTCCAGGGCTGAGAAGGGAAACTGCAATGAGGGCCCCGGGGACCCTCCACTCTTGGGGCAAGCTGGGCCGGCCCCACGCTGCCCTGGCATCCAGGGCACAGCGGCCGGCATCGCCCTTAGCCTTGGTCCTTCACGTGCAGCCCTGTTCTGCGACTACTACAACCCCCACGGGGAGTGCGAGTGGCACTACCAGCCCTGCGGGGCGCCCTGCCTGCGGACCTGCCGCAACCCCAGTGGACGCTGCCTGATGGACCTCTGCATGGACCACCTGGCCCGAGAGGGTGAGCCTTCTCCCCCCCTGTGCCCACCCCAGGCTGCTACCCAAAGTGTCCGCCCAGCAAGCCGTTCTTCAGTGAGGACCAGATGAGGTGTGTGGCCCAGTGTGGCTGCTACGATGGCGACGAGAACTACTACGATGTTGGTACCAAGGTCCCCACAGCAGAGAACTGCCAGAGCTGGTGAGGGGGCGGGGCCTGATGGGATGGGGGCGGAGCTGGGCGGGCGGAGCAGGGCGCCCCCCCTTTCTCTCCCCCCTCCCAGGCTCTCAGCTTCTTTCTCTCCTCGCAGTAACTGCACCGCTGGCGGCGTCCAATGCACATACAGCCTCGCGGGTAAGGAGGGGTCTGGTTGGTTAGGGGGGGGGGGGCTGGGGGCTGGGGCTCCCGCTGAGCGCTGCACCTGCCGCGTCTTGCAGCCTGCACGTGCACGTACGAGGGCAGGACCTACGGCTACGAGGAAGTCATCTACAACACGACCGACGGGCTCGGCGCCTGCCTGATGGCCGTCTGCGGGAGCAACGGGACGATCACGCGGACGGCCGTGGAATGTCGCGTCACGCCGTCCACCACGCCTTTCACCTTCACCTCGACGGCAACGCCACCCTCCACGACAGGTGAGCTGACCTGGGGAGGAAGCCGCTGTCCGGGTGAGGAGGGAAGACCCAGCGGGCACTCGGTGCCGAAGTCCTGGGCGCGAGGGATGGCCCAGGATCCCGCCGAGACCCGAGGGCCACGGGACCTGCGTCACCCTCCTCCTGGGCGTGGCTAACAAGGACGCGGAGGAGGTTGACGGCCCCACCCCCTCCCCACAGGTCCGGTCCCCACGCTCTCCACCGTGTGCGTGCGAGAGCTGTGCCACTGGTCTGCCTGGTACGACAGCGGCCGCCCAGAGCCGGGCATGGGAGGTGGGGACTTCGAGACGTTTGCCAACCTGAGGCAGAGGGGTCACCAGGTCTGCCCAGCGCCAGCCGGAGTCGAGTGCCGCGCGCAGCTGCTTCCAGACACGCCCCTGGAGCAGCTGGGCCAGAAGGTGGAGTGCAGCCCCCGGCTCGGGCTCAGGTGCCTCAACAGCGAGCAGGACCCTCCGCTCTGCCACAACTACGAGCTGCGGGTGCTCTGCTGCGACTACGTGCCCTGCGGCACCAGCCAGAAGCCGACCCTCCTGCCCCTGTCCACCTCCCCCGTCCAGGCAACCACAGCCTTGACCTCACCGACGACACAGACCCGGGTGGCCAGCAGCTCCGAGGTCCCGGGCACCAGCTGCCAGCCCCGCTGTCAGTGGACAGAGTGGTTCGATGAGGATTACCCCAAGGCCGAGGAGGCTGGGGGCGACATCGAGTCATACGACAGGATCAGGAGCGCGGGGGGCGACGTGTGCGAGCGGCCGCAGGACATAGAGTGCCGGGCAGTGAACTTCCCGGACAGGAGGCCCGAGGAGCTGGGGCAGCTCGTGCACTGCGACCCCAGCTTCGGCCTGGTCTGCAGGAATGACGAGCAGATGGGCCTGTTCAAGATGTGCTACAACTACCGGATCCGCCTGCTGTGCTGCAGCCACAGCCACTGCGGGGAGCCCACCCCTGCCACCGCCAGTGCCGCCACAGCCACCTCCACCTCCACTGCCACCCCTGCCACCGCCAGCACCACCACAATCATAGCCACTACCTCCTACACTGCCACCCCTGCCACCGCCAGTGCCGCCACAGCCACCTCCACCTCCACTGCCAGCCCTGCCACCGCCAGCACCACCACAATCATAGCCACTCCCTCCTACACTGCCACCCCTGCCACCGCCAGTGCCGCCACAGCCACCTCCACCTCCACTGCCAGCCCTGCCACCGCCAGCACCACCACAATCATAGCCACTCCCTCCTACACTGCCACCCCTGCCACCGCCAGTGCCGCCACAGCCACCACCACCTCCACTGCCACCCCTGCCACCACCAGCGCCACCACAGTCATATCCACTACCTCCTTCACTACCACCACCACCATAGCCACCACCACCACCTCCACTGCCACCCCTGCCCCCACCACCACAGCCACGACCACCTCCACTGCCACCCCTGCCACCGCCCCCACCACCACAGCCACAGCCACCACCACCTCCACTGCCACGGCCACCACTGAAGCCACCAGCAGCCAGGGCACGACTGGCTGCGAGCCCAAGTGCGAGTGGACAGAATGGTTTGACGTGGACTTCCCCACCTCGGGGGTCACGGGCGGAGACATGGAGACCTACGACAACATCAGGGCTGCTGGTGGCAAGATGTGCCGGGAGCCGCAGAAGATTGAGTGCCGGGCAGAGAGCTACCCGGAGGTGAGCCTGGACCAGATCGGGCAGGTGGTGAGCTGCAGCCTGCAGGCCGGGCTGGTCTGCAGGAACCGGGACCAGAGGGGGCCGTTCACCATGTGCTTCAACTACAACATCCGTGTGCTCTGCTGTGAAGGCGCCGGCCGCTGCCCCACCTCC